GTAGGACTTATATCAGTATTATTTTTATTATCTCCAAAATATTCTTACAATCTATAAATATTTTCTGACATCGAATAATCTGAAAAAGGGGATAAACCGTAAAAAACAAATTAATCAATTAACCATTGTCTTATGAACTCAAATACTATGTCTATAGAACGCAGTCTACCCTGCTTTTTAAAATATAAAAAGAGATAAGAAAGCTTCAAGCCATTCCTTTGTTTATTTGCCTGAAGGTGTATATAGAGGGTAAGGCTAGAATTTTCACTTAACACTGATTTCCGTTTTTTCGAACCGATAACCTTTACTCTACCCACACATCAGTTACTTAAACCAGGTCTATTAGTGTTAATATTTATATGGATTTTACAGTGAAAATAATTTATTGCAATAATGCAAATAATCTGAATTCAGGCATTTTCTAAAACATTAATATACAATAATACTGATTTTAGAAAATCCGTGTATGCATTTCAACACGTCGCCTAGATTTTCTAATAATATACGAAGAAATCGATCTCTTTAGCTAAATTATTGCCATTTATGCTTTATAGATTCGGTAGGAATGTATCTGAGAATTAACAGAGAAGCTATATCCTTAGCCCTCATGTAGAGAATCGTAACTCAAAGTATATCAATAAATTCCCAGAAAGGTAAACATATTACCCAACCAGTTGATTTTATGATGTTTTCTTACGGGACAACCTGGTGATAGGTAGTTATATAAGCAATCTAACCGTGAGGAACAAAGCAGAGCGGTTCACATCCTCCCAAGAGATTAACGTTTGAAGAAAGTTCAAGAAACCACACACGCTCACATCGACGAAACCCAGACGTGAATAAACAATAAATTTATGTACAAAATATTTCGTCTCATATTCCAAATAGACGTCATACCTTTTTGTGTATATGCTGATGGCAAATATAGATAATTTTAATTTTTAAAATTTGCAGCTTAAACATATTCAGTGTAAGGCATTTGAAGGCGAAGTTGACAATATTCTGATATTTAGAAAATATTAAAAAAATATCTCTGTGAATATGTATATTTTTTGTTGCATAGAATTTTGTGACTGGACCTAATTTTGCCGCGCAAAAGCAAATAATTATTGTATATTAATCTTTAAAAAATGCCTGAATTCATATTATTTGCATTATTGCAATGAATTAATTTCATTGGAAAATCCATATAAATATTCATTCTTATAGATTTGGTTTAATTAGCTGATGTGTGGGTAGAGTAAATGTTATCGGTTCTAAAAAGGAAAAACCTGAAAATAACATTACGGACAAACCAGCCTCAACCTTAACAAAATTCACACGATACTATTCAAGACCACCCATAATTTTACTTTACTAATTTCTTTCCCTTTGAGCAAAAAATAATATACCACGCTGAAATATCCAATGGCCTGACTAAGAAAATTTGTCGGCGATAAGTAGGATGATACTTGTATATGTTATTTTAAAACTTCCAAAAATTCTTTGCGAATTATTTAGATTTGGCCTCACGGAATTTAATAGTTCCTCTTCTTTCACCAGATACAGTCTACCGCATAATGTATTTCTACATTCATTTGAATATGGCGTTTTTATAAACCACGTGTCTTTCTAAGGCGGAGGCTGGTTTGTCCGTAATATTATTTTCAATTTTTTCATGGAATGTGATGAATAAACTCTTCTCTCAAACATGTCAGACGAAGGGACTGACGACGTTAATGATATTCCCGAAAATTTTTCTTTGCTATTGACATCCATTCTGCTATTATAACGTCTAGTAATCTTTGAATCTGTTCAGACGCGCCTCTTAAATAGTTTATGCTTGCTATATATACGTCGTTGGCACTCTTGGGAATCATCAACCAATTTCTTGTCTTAGAAGCAACATGAGGCTCAAATTTATTTAGTTTGCTTGTACGACTTACTTTCTTTAACACTTTCATGTTCATGGAATTAATGTTAATATCTGATGTTAGCTCAAGGAAAATATCTCGCTTACAGAATGGGCGAAATATTACAGTGACATCAACAACACGAAGAATGACATTGTGCTTTTTATTTCAGCAGTATTTAAATTACGTCATGATTTTGAGTTCATTTAGTTTTGGTGATTTTTTTAAAATAATTCTACACTTACAGCCACACGATCACCGAAGTTAAGCAACGTCGTACCCAAATTCTCTTTGGATTTCTTATATTGACTTACGTACAAATCAATTTAGAATAGGTATGGATCCACATTTTCTCTCCGTACGATGGGTTAATTATTAAGAATATGGGGAAGGATTTAAAGTGAATATACAGAATGAAATCAATATTATCTCAGGATTTATATCCACATCACGTTGAAACCTCGGTACCTGTACAATCACCGAAGTTGAAAATCTTAAGCCTGATCCTCACTTAGATGGATGAAGACTTGGCAATAACACTTGCAATAAGCTTGGATGTGCGGTTGGTGTAAATGATAATGGTTTGGAATTGGTAATCGGAGAGCTGAGTTCAAATTCCCGTAGGTATTTTTTATATTCCCGTACGTACAAATACCCGTCGGGGAGGTAATAATCTAGCTCTTCTCACCTCGCTATGGGTTTATTAATAAAACTTGTATCACTAAACCCTTATTATTTGCGAAAGGAAAATTCTTAGAATCTAAAACATTTTTCTAGCTTTACATAAGCTCTAAAAGGTAGCTAAACTGTAGAAAATGAATGAATCAATCATTCAATCAGGATTGAAGACAATTATTAGTTTTTTCGTATGATCGATTTCTTCCTCGTGCGAACTTTTAAGTTAGTTTGGCCCAAAACTAAAAGAACCTCTAGTTCAGCGATAAAAACAGCAATGATAATTTGAAGTTTTCCTCTCGCCATTGCTCAGTGCAGAATTTGGTTTGGTTTCGCTTATTTTACGGTATATCAACCTCAATGGGTCATTTAATGCCGACAAAATTTTTATTGTTGGTAATATTTTTTTTCAAAAATCTATTGCTGGTAATGTTCTTCAAAAATCTATTTCTGGGAATATATTTTTCTTCAAAAATCTATTTCTGAGAATATCTTTCCTTAAGGAATCTATAGCTGGCAATATTTTTTTTTTCATAAAATGTATAGGTGTTTGTAATACTGGTATATTTTTTAAAGGATTGCTGATAATAATTTTTCCTTAAAAAAATATTGCTGGTAATGTTTTTTTACAAAGTATTTCTGGTATTAAAACCTATTTTTATACAAACTTGGGTATTAACTCTTTGCCCACAGCTGGGACCCTAACAGGTGCTACCACCTCGGGTCAGAGTGGACCTGGGAATACTAGCAATTAAGAGGTGGTTCCACACTCCTCAAAACCTCCTGTTCAGAGGCCTTGCTGTTGGACGCAGTTTATCGTCTTACCCAGGACAAGCTCAGTGGGGAAGACAGTGAGTCTGACACAAAACAATTTTAACCTGCTCTCTTTTTAGCTTAAATAGCTCAAAGTGATTTTCAGTGGTTCTTACGGAAAATTGTGTCTAGATGTCTAAACGTCTTATCTGAAATCATCGAAAAAATAAAGTCAATTAGTTTAGTGTTTTCTTTAGATATTAAACATTTTGTTGGAGGGATAATTATGCAGTGACACGATTTGGAGAATTTTGTTGTTAAAGGGAGTATATATGAATGCAATGAATTTAAAGATTCTGGATAAAATATTTTAAAAAAACTGCAATATTATTGGTACTGACCTCGGATCTCGGCTTCATTCAATTTCACACCGCCGTAACTTATCTTCCCTTTGTCTTTTTTAAATATGTATTTCATGTATTTGTCCAATTAACTTTTCTCTTTGTACCTAAACTTAATAATTTTGTTTTTTCTTTAAGCATTTCACCCTAAGCAAGGTCGAGGTGCCACTAGTACACAAGGTGTTACAGAGAGTTGGAACAAGAGTAAAGAGAAGTGATTGAGGAAATAATAAAGAGAAGTACGGGGATTTAGATCAAGGCATCAGAAGATGTCGATTGATATTACATTTGAATATTTGAAGACTATAACTGTCAGAGAAGCAAGTAATAGGAAGGGAGATCCACATGCAGGAAGTGCGAGACATGAAGCTGTCGGAGTAGAAAAGATGGCTACATTTAACCGTTTCGACCGGGAAAGGGTAGAACTGAAACGCCAACCTAGTAACACACTTAAATCCATGTAATTTGAGAACCAGTGAAAATAGCTCTTCGGGGCAGTTGCCGTGAAAGTACTTGTAAGAAAGACAGAGGGAAGCGAGGCACGTCAGTGAGAATGTGACTACAGACGAAATGCCAGACCAGGACCAACCATATTACATATACGTCTCTGGATTTTGAAGAGGACATTGAGATGCACAGCAGGAGCTCCAGACCATATGTGGCAGCATATTCCATGCAAGGGCGAATGGTTGATTTATAGATTTGAAGGATAGACTCAGGCGAGAAAAACCTTCTGGCCGACACAGAGAACCAACTTTCCTTGTGGTAGATAAAGCTATTGATTCAATGAATTTGTTTCATCTTAGGTCAGCGGACAGCGTGAGAATTTAAACGCAGTACGAGAATGGCAGCAAAGTCTCAGCGTTTTATAGCTGAAATGTCCAAACGTGAGCATAACGTGTATTCTAACAGTTTATTTTCTCTCACCTATCGCTGGTTGAAATATCATACGGCATCTCTCATTTCAGTTAACTTCGATACTTAAAAATTAAAATGCAATATCAATCATTATCTTCTGTCTTCTTAATTCATTTTTTTGAAATTAATGTTTCTACTTAATAAGTTTTTCCGTTTCCCATAATCTCTCACAATCTATAATCCTTGGCGTCTTAGTGGTTTTATTGCCCTGCTTGGAAGAAACGATTAAAAAAGTTTCATAATTACTATTGTAATTTCTACACAATAACAAACGTATGAATTACTTCTACCAGTTAAAATTTATCTGAACGATAGGGGGATACGAATGTTCAAAATCGGGAGAACACATTTTCTCCATAAAATGTATCAACTGCGCAAGCCAGCAGTCGTAACTCTATTTAAAAAAAAGGGGCGTCCACTCAAACCTGGATTTTCATCTCTACATCTCACACATTTTCTTCTCTTCTTCCCTCTCACGCTTTTTACCTCGCTTCTACCCTCTCACGCTTTTCTCCTCTTTTATGCACTCTTAGGGTTTTTCCTTCCTTCTGCCCTCTCATGCTTTTTTCATCTCCTCTGCTCTCTCATGCTTTTTTCCTCTCCTCTGCCCTCTCAAGTTCTTTTCCTCTCCACTGACCTGTCACGCTTTTTTCCCTCTCTTCTTCTCTCTCACGTTTTCTCCTCCCCTCTGCTCTCTCACGCTTTTTTCTTCTCTTTTGCCATTTCACGCCTTTTTCTTCTCTTCTGCCCTCTCACGTCCTTTTCTTCTCCTCTGCCCTCCCTTTCGCCATCTGCATCTCTTTTCCATCATTTTATAAAATCACACGAGTTCACAGTATGTCAAATACTGAAACATATGTTTTTTTGAGAGTCTTAAGTGCACTGATTGCAAGACCTCTATTTATATTCGGATAAATATCTACAATTTTGTTGCTGTTATCTCAAGGTTTCGACCCTTGTGTCCTCCGGCATTCATCAGGGTAGAATATTCTGGTTACTCTGCCCATGTCTTGGAATATCTAACCTTCTTACTTTTAATACTGCTCAGTTATTCCTGGCTCTGTTTCCACTGAGTTTATATTATTTAATATTTAATAAGAACCCCATAACATTCTCAAATAATTATCTCTCCTTAATTCTTTTATTGTATTCACTTTCTTATTCTACCGTATTTAACGTTATTTGCAGTGATTTCTGTTGCTTATTTATTTACATTTTCTTTAACAATCCCTGATATACAGGGTGTCCCAAAAAACTACATCATTTTGTCGTCTAATAAGATAGCCAAGTCTCATTCAAATGATCTCAAATTTTAATAAAATGTTTAAAAACTAAGCTGAGTATCTACCAGGAAGATAAATCGGGCGTGCCAGTGATAATGACAATGTTTTGTTGGAATACCCGCTACGTTCACCTGACATGACACGTTGTTTTTTTTTTTTTGTTTTTTGTTTTTTTTTTCTTATCAGGTTATGTGAAATAACAGGTTTCTGTCCCCACCTCTTCATACAAACCCATGGGAACTTAAAAAAAATAAAATAAATTTAACGAGACAACGAGACGCTGGTGAATGTTACAGAACACATGCTACAGCGTGTTTAGCATTAACTGCATTACAGACTTGACGTCTGCCATGTCCCAGGTGGTACACATATTGAACATTTCTGAAGCTTTGTGAAATCGGTCACAAATCTTTATCCCTATGCATAGCTAGTTCAAGTTTGGATAAATAACTCTTTTCTTGTACAATATGAAGCCTATTTAATTAATTTTCCTGGGACATGTAGTTACTCAGTTATTTAAATTTTAATCTATGTCAATTTTGTGGAGATACGGTGTATTTATTTTAATGACTGACCACCAATCTATCCGGTGTATATTGAATTAATTGACAACATAAGCTGAAAAAAAAGGCGTGGCTTTGAGAAGATCTCAGAGAAAGAATCTCCGATTTGTAAGACGTATTAAGTACAGAACTTGAACTGACAAACGGGAAAAATATTTTAAGTGTTTTTATTGTTAAGATAAACATCGAGGAAAAGTATAGACCATTAAGAATATTAGGGAATGTGATGTAAGAACAGAAAGACAAGTTATAATTTTGACACAGATTAATTTATTACCTTTAAGACCTTCCTTGGCAAAGAGTATTAATATTCAACTTTTCTTTAAAGATTCTTGATTTAGATCAGAAACACACTTAACAGGTTAGGGAAAAGGACAGGAAAATTTCGATTGAAACAAAGAAAATGTTGCTGAAATATTATGTAATACAATTCTTCTTCTATGGGAATGAATAATGGGATATCTCTTGACATATGAAGAAGAGACATGAGGCAGCAGGCATATATTTCTACAGAAAGATGTTGCCAATACCATGGTTTCAACATTAGTATAACATGGTGGTTTTATTCCGGGAGATGAAAAAAATGAGGCTTATATTTCGAATCAATAAGAGAGTTCTGAACCTTCTAGTACATATAATAAAGGGGGTGGTTCCCTGAGAATATGACCCTCAGAGGATATATCGATGACAAGAGGGACAGATGAAGACAACGTGTGACTAACCTAACGAGTTTGTACAAATGGTTGGCAAAACAGAGGGATAGCTTAAAACCAAACTTTACTAAGAGTAGTAATAGTTTATATTTCCTTTTGAAATGAATAATCGGGTTATGATATGTATAGGGTATTTTGAGTCCTATAAATATTGTCAAGTGTCATGAGAAGAGAAGCAATATATAAATATATGAACCGAGTCAAAATATTGGTAATTTCGATGAAACATCAAAGAGAAATTGAAAAAAAAACAAGAATAAAAATGACTTAAAGAATATCACAAAATATGAAGTTGAGTGAAATTATGACTTAACAGAGAATAAAATCGCATTACCAATCTCCACGATATTTGGAGAAAATTCTGATGCGAATTTAAATAAAAAGATGCAGAATAGGAAGAACATTGGCTGAAAATTTAATTATCTAAACTAAAACCTTTTACATTTTTCTGACAGTTGTCCTAATCATTGTTGCCATATTCACGAACTTTCGATCGTTGTATACTCCGGCCTTCTTCAAGTACATATGGCCCCGTTGATAAAAGCGTTGGTTGAATCCAGTGACGTTACCCAAAGTTATGTTATATGATTTCCCAAATTTTCTTTCTCGCATTATCAGTTAACGATATCAGCGTTAGCAACTTGAGAATTTACATAAATTGTAAAGCGAAAACTTAAGGCAAGGCGGGGAAGCCTCTAGGACGCAAGGGGTTACAGAAAATTTGGAGCAAGATCAGATAGGAGTGATAGAATAAAGGATGAGGAGAAGGGTAATGGATAGATCAAGGTAAAAGGAGAAGTCGATTGACATTAAATTTGAATAGCTGGAGATTATAGCTCTCAGGGAAACTGGAATAGGGAAGGGAGTTCCACAGGCGAGAGGTGCGAGACATGAAGCTATTGGAGTAGAAGAGACGGCTACATTTAATAGTTTCAACAGTGAACGGGTGAGAGCGTGATGCCATCCTAGTAGGGCGCTTGAACTCATGACGTCTGGGAACCAGCGAATGCAGTTCCTCGGAGCAAATGCCATGAAAGTATTTGTAGAACAGAAGGAGGAAGACGACGGCGCGTCTGTTAGAAAGTGGCTTGCAAGCTAATACGTTTTAGTGGCTGTATTTAATTACATTTCACATTTAGATATTATTCCAGTATGCAATTTGCACTAGGATATTAGTAGCACACGTCACTTGTGACAAAAACCTGGCAATAAATTAACCTTTTTCTTACAAGTTTCTGGACTAGTTCTTTTTTTTTTATCATATAATAACGGCCGGTTACGTTTTTTAGAGCACGCCGTTTCAGACAGAGACATTTTTTATTTGTCAACACCCACCGAAACCACATGTCAGTTTTAATGCACCTATGCTGTTTGAACTTTAGTTGCAGTTTCATAAAGAGAGGGCGTAATCTTCCATGAAAAAGTCTGAACAACACCAGGATGCTTAAACTCTCGGTCACGATGACATATCACTTCGTGCTAGAGAAAAGCTTCGACGGTTCGAAAGCAGTTCTGTATTCCCAATTTAACTCACAGTTCAACCTGTACTATGACTTTCAGACACTTTTCAAAAGTGCCGAACGGTAGAATCGTCTAGGTAGGCCTTTGGAATCAAAGAATCACCTCCCATAAAAATCAAACATGTTGAGATTCCAGCCTAGGTCTGCGTCCTTAGAATGCGTTTTTTCTCATATCGAGGCTATCCACCCATTAATCAAATAACAGATTTATAAGCATGGAAATTAGTTTCTTGCGATGTTTCAGTAATATTATCACATTAAAATATTTATTTCGTACATGCTTGAAGGCAATTATATTAAAAACTTCTAAGTGATTAAAATTATATCTTCAGTTTTATTTTTATTTACGTCGACCAAAAATGAACAAGGTACAAATATTTAAGTGTATATGAGGATTACCATTACAGGATTGAAAAGAGAAAATTACGTATTTTTCAGTTTTGCATAAAAAAAAAGAAAGAAGCTATCAATGAATAAATCATAATAATTAAATTAAATTACTTCAAACGTTATATTTATTGGATACCCGTATTAGAGTAGACGCGCCTGTTTATTTTAAACAGTATATATTTCGTCTACCGGTCTGTTTACCCGAGAATATTTAATAAAGATGTGCCCACGGACATGATTTAAACCTGCGTTCCCTTTTGCAGGAGGAAAAATGTCTGATCTGGTGTGAGTTTAATGCTTGGCTACTAAGAGCTTTATAATAAATCAATATACTCTTTTGTCTTTAAAACACCCTCACACGTTCAGATTTTTTTCGAAAGGCATATCTGCACAGTTACCCAACTGGAACTTAAAGCAAATGTTAAAGAAATAATGGATTTTCCTTAGAAACAATTCAATATCTGCCTTTGAAAAGTGGTCATTGAAGAACAATTCCGATCAGCAATGCGATCCCCATAAAAATAAAGGTATCCACCACATAATAAGCATGCATAATAAGGATAGAGGTCTTGGAAAACTTGATACTCAAAAGGACAGATTGAAAGGAAGAGTGACATAGGAAAACAAAGCATAACCTATCCAGTTAGCTTGTATAAATAGATGGCGGAAAAAGCTTTAGGAAATAAATCAAAAAGAGAAAATTAATTAAGAACTGCAAGGGACAGGAAATTTTGGAGAGTCATGATAGACAAAGTTCTGAAGGGACATACAAATTTAGTCTGACACTATGACCAACATATATATATATATATATATATATATATATATATATATATATATATATATATATAGGTAACTATACGTTTCGAAAAACCTTCGACCTTTTGATTTGCCAGCAATCAAATCAATGTCGAAAGAAAAAAAAAGATTTAAAAAAAGAAAGAGCTAGAAACATGAAAGTCTGTCGAAAAGAAATCGCACAGATACAGGTTTACAGCCAAAAGAAAAAAAAAACCAACACGAGTAAACAACTTACTAACAAAAGAGCTCAATATATCCGTAGAGCAGACCTAGATAAACCTAGTGAGTCAGACAAACCTATCCAGGTTTCACCTAAGCGGATCCTCAGGGAAAGCTGGCTAAAGAGGCAAAAGAGAAACAACATATTTATAGGCGATAATCAAACCACGTTACCAAAGAAAAAGAAAAACAAGAAAAACAACACCGGTTATCTGATAACGTAACTGTCAGGGTTTCAATTCTCCGTAGTGGATGCGCACTGCTGATGACTCCTAAATATAGGACGAAACGGCTGTCCAGTGATTCCTGCATTCTGTTGAGTTTTCCTCTAGACTCGATGAATTATTCAATTATTCATATATATATATATATATATATA